GCGCAGCGGTTTGGCGCCTGCCTTTGGCCCAGGGCGCGATCCTGGAGACTCGGGATCGAATCCCATGTCGGGCTCCCGGTGCATGGAGCCTGCTTCTCCCTCTGCCTGTGTCTCTGCCTCTCTCTCTCTCTCTCTCTCATAAATAAATAAAAATTAAAAAAAATAAAAAAATAATAATTAAGACTATTTCTGGGGCAGCCTGGGTGGCTCAGCGGTTTAGTGCCAACTTCAGCCCAGGGCGTGACCCTGGAGGCCTGGGATCGAGTCCCACATTGAGGTCCCTGCAAGGAGCCTGCTTCTCCCTCTGCCTGTGTCTCTGCCTCTCTTCCTCTCGGTGTACACACTCTCATGAATAAATAAATAAAATCTTAAAAAAAAAAAAGACTATTTCTGCGTATTAGGATTTCAAGAATGGAAAGCACCTGAGGTGCGGAGACAATTTTCATGTAGATATATCTGTGTAGAACTCTCAATGAAGGCAACTATGATTCGTGGGCCAAATCCAACCCACTATCTTGTCTTATGGCCCATGAGTTAAGAGTTATTTTTAACAGCTGAGAAAAAAAAAATCAGAGGACTATTTCATGATACATAAAAACTATATTAAAATTTCAGTGTCCATAAATGAAATTTCATTGGAATACAAACTTACTCATTTGTCTACGTGCTGTCCCTGTCTGCCTTCATGTTATGGCAGTAGAGCTAAGGAGTTGCAACAGAAACAATAAAGCCAATGTTGGCTAAAATGTTGATCATCTGGCCCTTACAGAAAATGCTGGCTAACCCATTACAAATCATTTCTTCTGACTTATCTTCCAGTTCACTAACATGGTCTTCAGTTGTATCTAATCCTGATCAATCCTATTGAGTTTTCAATTTTACTAAATGGGTTTTTCAATTCTAGAAGTTTTATTTTTCCAATATTTTGCTTTTTATAATCCCCTATTCCATGTATGTAATATATAATTCAACCTTGTCTTTTTTTTCCTTAAACATAGTAAATCTAATTGCTTTATCAATTGTGTCTGGTAATTCCGATTTCACAAGTCTTTATGGGTCCCCCTCTGTTGTCTGTTGTTTTTCATGGTTCTCACTAATGGAGCCTTATTTCCTTTTGCGCTTAGTTATTTTTACTGTTAGCTGTTCATTTCCTTGAAAGGTTATTTGCAAGGAGTTCATGTCTATCTCCAGAGCAGGTCTGCATTTGCCTCTGCCAAGACCTTGACAGGCACTGCCAGTCTGGAGTACCTTAAACTCTCATATACTTGAAGTTCATAGCTTGAGGTTCCATAGCTCACCAGGCTGTGAATATCAAGTGTTGCTTTTTTTCTTTTTTCTTTTTTTTTTTTTTTTTTGAGTGTTGTTTTACTAACTTATTACCCTGGGACGCCTGGGTGGCTTAGCCGTTGAGTGCCTCTCTTCAGCCCTGGGCATGATCCTGGAGTCCTGGGATCGAGTCCCACATTGAGGTCCCTGCAAGGAGCCTGCATCTCCCTCTGCCTGTGTCTCTGCCTTTCTCTCTCTGTGTCTCTCATGAATAAATAAATAAAATCTTAAAAAACAAACAACTTATTACTCTGATCCACTCAGATCCTGGCAACCTTTACTGCAGTCCTGGTTTAGGGGTGCAGGTTTCCTTCTAGGTCATCCTATGCTGAGTCCTTTGGGGTTCCAGTTTAATGTGGAAAGGATCAAAAGATGAAAAATATGGAAGAGATGTTAGTAGACTTGGAGGCTAGAATGAAAGGTCTAACATTTAAACTGATTAAAAGGGAGAGGAGAGAGAATGGGCGGAGACAATACTTAAACGGATAATGGGGGCACCTGGGTGGCTCAGTCGATTAAGTGTCTGCCTTTGGCTTAGGTCATAATCCTGGGGTCCTAGGATTGAGCCCCACATCCGGCTCCCTGCTCAGTGGAGAGCCTGCTTCTCCCTCTCCCTCAACTGCTCCCCCTACTTGTGCACTCGTGATATCAGAAAGGGACACAGAACATAAAGACTTCTAACTCTGGGAAATGAACTAGGGGTGGTGGAAGGGGAGGAGGGCGGGGGGTGGGGGTGAATGGGTGACGGGCACGGAGGGGGACACTTGACGGGATGAGCACTGGGTGTTATTCTGTATGTTGGTAAATTGAACACCAATAAAAATTAATTTATTAAAAAATAAATAAATAAATAAATAAATAAATAAATAAATAAATAAATAAATAAACAAACTAAAAAATAAAAATAAGTAAACAAGTAATGGCTGAAAAATTTCCAAAACATATGAATTCCTATACTCCAGAAGTACAGCGACTGATAGCAGCTACACTTGTGGTGAGCAAAGCATTACGTGTGGACTCTTTAAATCACTATGTTGTACACCTGAAGCTAGTGTAACATCGTGTATCAACTATACTTCAATTTTAGACAATTCTGTTTAAAAAACTGTTCACTTTAAAAATCAAATAAATAAAATTTTAAGAATCTAAATTAATCCAATCAAGATAAAAAGAAATTCTTACATTTAAATGTATTCATATTTTATACAACCCTTTCTTCTATTCTTCCTAAAAACCTTGGGAGGTATGTACTACCACCTACATTTTTCATAAGGAAAAACTGGTATTCCGAGAACTAAAACAAATTAGCTAGTCATGTAATCCTAAGCAGCAGGGGCAGGATTCAAATCCAGTTCTTGAGTCAGAACTCAAGTTCAGGTTCTTTCCCGTAGGCTGGAAATAGAATACGATACAGCAGAAGGCGACTTCATAAGAGGAGATCTGGAAACTGCTAAGGGATTATATCAGAACTCTTAATTTGGAAACTTCTTCCTGGAAGCAGGTAAAAATCATTCCCACATTATCTGTGCTTTCTTTTTTTTTTTTTAAAGATTTTATTTATTTATTCATGAAAGACAGAGAGAGAGAGAGAGAGAGGCAGAGACACAGGCAGAGGGAGAAGCAGGCTCCATGCAGAGAGCCCGATGTGGGACTCGATCCCGGGACTCCAGGATTATGCCCCGAGCCGAAGGCAGGCACTAAACCGCTGAGCCACCCAGGGATCCCCATGTGCTTTCTTCTAAAGATAAGCACTAGACTGGAAAAGCCTTTGCAATAAGAAACAGGAAGAGTTCCAGGTTATACCTTAACTTGTGAGTTATTCCCTGAACTAAAGACCAGGTTGAGGGCAGCCCGGGTGGCTCAGTGGTTGAGCGCCGCCTTCAGCCCAGGGTGTGATCCTGGAGTCCCAGGATCGAGTCTCATGTCGGGCTCCCTCCAGGGAGCCTGCTTCTCCCACTGCCTGTGTCTCTGCCTCTCTCTGTGTGTCTCTTGTGAATAAATAAATAAAATCTTAAAAAAAAAAAAAAGATCAGGTTGACTCAAATGGCTCATGGGTCAAGCCTGGTACATCACAGAAAGCTGCACAACAGCCTGCTGGGTACCACCCAACTGTCAGGACAGCAGGACAGGAGCGCCCTCCTAATTCCCCTCCTTACGCCGCTGGAGACCGTTTAAATACTGTAGTTAACGTGTCTCAGATAACATGCCTTTTGTTCATCAATGTGATTTGACTTGGTAAATTACTACATCTCTTCCATTCTGGTGGCATTTCACTTGTTTACAACTTATCCTGGATTTCTTTTCTGCCCAGAGCACTAAATTAAGAATTTTCCTAAGAGTGAGGTCTGTGGCTTTCTAGCATAATTGGGCCCCAGTCCCCAGATGTTAACATGTGGCTGACATCTCTCTACGGGCCTGATATCAAAAGTGGACCATCTTTCCCTCGTGGCTGCCTCTGTGATGTTAGGCAACTGGGAGAATTACGATGCCTGAACTCACAGCCTGAGGCACAAGAACCACAAATCAGGAAACAGGCCTAGGCAGTAGACAATTCAGTGGGAAAGCCAAACAGCCCTAGGTTCGGTGCATCGTGTGCAGGCGCAGTCATCACCATCACAAGCAGCTCTGGCCAAGGCCTCATGCAAGAGAGCATAGAAGCCACAGGCAGTTTTGCAACCATTTCCTGCATATCAACCATGTGGGAGGTGCCGGGCAGGGCATGAACACACAGGATGGATACAGCCCAATCTCAAGGCATCTTAGGTCACCCACCTCTCCTCCATGCATCCATCATGGGGCCACGGTGGTAGGTGCTAGGGAGACCAAGAAGGCCAGGACGGGGGGAGGATTCTGAAAGGATTACATACTCTGTACTTGAAAGCCCCTATGAATTAATGATTTCAATTAAATCCTTACAATAACCCTGTGAGGTAGGTATATCGGTGTCCTCATCTTACAGACGGAAGTGAGGCTCAGTGTGGCTAAGTAGCTCACCCCCAATCACAAAGACAGTAAATGGCAATCCAGGATTTGAACCAAATCAGGTCTGGCTCTGAGCCCAAGCTCTTAATAAATTGATAATTATTACACAGTTAATTATAGTACACGGAGATCGTGGGTGACAGAGGACAAACATTCACAGGAAGCATGGAGAAGAGGTCATGAATATTGTGTAGGGAAGAGGTGGTCTTTGAGTTTTCCTAGTTGACCAGCCAGCCAGGAAAGGGAAGTGCAAGCACCAGTAAGGAACACATGTAGAGAGGCAGAGGGGGATGGAGGCTTTGCCTGTGGCAGAGTGACAGGAGCTAATGCGGGAGAGGAAGTCTGATCACGGAAGGCTTTGCACACCAGGCTGCCAAGAATCTTCGTGAGGCACTGCTTCCTACTGCAAAAGCCTTTCCAAAGGCCTCCTTCTTCCTTGAAGCCGGCAGTGGCTCCTTATGTACGGAGCTGCCTGTACCAGCCAAATTGAAGGTTTTATGTTTGCACCTACAATCTCATCCTCTCTGGGCCCCTGCAAACCGCAACATGCTCTAAGAGTTGGCTGACTAGGCCGGAGACCCCAGGGAGTCCCACAACAAACACAGGGCTAAGGAGGCGAGCCTTTGAAGCTGGACCCCAGCTCCCACAGATGTCTCTAACACAGAGTCAAGGCACTTTCTCATTCTACTCACAGTTTAGAGTCCAGCTTCAGGAGGAAACCCAACCGATCATACTCTGAAAAAGAAAACCAGAAAATGTCGTTGAAGTCAAGCCACTGTTGACACTAGCAAACTGTATTATCCCCCAGACATAGACCATGGGGACAGACACCTGCTCAAGGAACAGACCCAAATACATAAGCCGCGATTAAATTTAAGTCATGCTGAACACCTGTTTATTGAAGGACCAGGTTCAATGCCAGGTGTTTCCCAGACCCTCTAGGCCAGCAGTCCTAGCTGGCATGTAATTGCCTTCCTGTTTAAATGTGGTACTTGACTAAAATTTACTTAAACCACAAAACCAGACCCCCAGAAGTAATAGGGCCAGAAGCAGTCTCTGCTTCCTCTAAGTTCTAATCATAATTTTTTGCTGAAGCAGCTATGTTCACTATGAAGACATGGAAGCCAAGGGGTCTTCAAATCCATAGCCATGATCCCTTCTTCTACATGACAACCACAAAGAGCTGACATATCTGATTACATAAAGGATAGGAAATTTAAAACAACATCTAAAATTAAGTTGTAGGATGTTTACTGCAAATGATAAATCATTAAGAGTTTAAGTCCTTTATGTCTTGCCTCATCCTAAAGTGAAGTTGAAGCAGTCAGTCTTACAAAGTCGATTAAGTATAAGATTTTTAAAAAGAAGATATCTGGGACCAAAGGGGAAAGAAGCACAAGAAAAATAGTAAAACGCAGCCAGGATGAGAATTCCAAAATCAGATGACCTATAAGGTCCTATATGCTTGCTAGGGGATGATTATAGATGCACCCCCAAGATTTCTCATAGCTAAAGCTAAATGCAAGCACTGATAAAATGGTTTACAGTGTTCATAAATAAACCAGGAGAATCACAGCTATTCCTGTGACTAAGCCTTGAGAAATGTCTTAAGATCATTTCTTATATCTTTGTTCAATGATTTCAAGGTGTGTGTGTGTGTGTGTGTGTGTGTGTGTGTGTAGAGTGACTACATCAAAACAAGGCAGTCTATGAATGCAGTTCTCAGCGAGCCTGGCTTCACCTGAAGGTAAAACAGAACACCAGGACCAAACAACTAAATGGAAAAGACCATGCAGCAAGGTTTTGGGGGAACTCAGTCTTTAATAAGCAACGATGGGCCAAGAGAAGGACATTACACATACTAGCAAGTACCTCACAGGAGCCATTCTGCAAGGCCAAGTAAGGCCCAGATTTGTACTCTTTCTTAAGCAGCAGAGCTGTAGTAGGAGAGTAATTCCTCTTCTTAAAACTGAAGCTATCAGCTAGGACACAGCCCAACAGAACCTGGCCTCCCAGGAGAATACACTTGAGCAGTCAATGCCTTTCCTCAAAATAACTCTGCTTTTGCTCCAACTCAGATAGATGGACGAGAGATTTTGCTTAATATATCAGGAACTTCTAAAAGTCAGTAAGGGGGGAAAAAGGCTTTAATTTAAAAAATAAATCGAAAACAAAATTCGCAAAAAGGCTTGGTTTCAAAGGTTAATACTCTTTCAACAATCCTATTTATCATTCCGTAAAAAAAATCTCATTAACTTGCCCACACCTGTTGCTTCTCCCCCATGTGGTCATAACCTTGGGGCAACTAGCCTGCTACTGCTCCTCAGACCTGAGCTAACACTTCCTTGGACATAGAGTGAATCCATGCTTTGGCTGCTCCCTTCCAGGGACACCAAAGAATGTTTCCCCTCGTTGCAAATTCAGATGTCAGGGCCAAGCAAGAACATAACTCAAATGAAGGGAGAAGGGGGGGGATATGATACTCTCCCATAGTAACTCATACTACTAATTTTAGTTGCATTAAAAACAAATCCAGTTGAAATGTCTTTTTTTTTCACTCTTCATTTTTGTACAGTAGCCACAATGATATCTATGGATTATTTTCCAGTGGCACCTTAAATTTGGTTTTATACAAACATGTACTAACTGCATTTTAAATAGATAAGAATTCTTTGCATTTCTAAAGATACTCTCTTCAAGGCTCTCTTTGACTGTTGTTTTCTCTCTTTTGTTAAGAGACAGGAGTACCAGAGATGTTTCACTTTACTCTGTAATTTAAGGAAAGGTAATTGTGTGAGCCCAACAATGATAAATGGCAACTGACATTGCCTTTGGGTAACAGCCGAGCGGATTGGAGCCCATCTGGAGACTCCACGCCCTGCCAAAGGGGGAGCCTCCACCAGCACCAGCTAACAAAGGCAGTCAGCGATGCAGGCCCAGCACTGCCATCTTCTAATTTTTTTTTTTTAATTCAAGAATCTGGATCTTTTAAGGTAAAACTTCTCAATGCGTAACTATTAGCAATAGATTCAAGAAAATTTTAAAGATTATGAAAGTTACCCAAAATGTGTCTATGGGCAGGATTCAGCCTGTGGGCTAACAGTCTATAAACCCTGTCCTAGACTGGCATCCCATGAGGACTGGAAGCGACTCTCTTTCATGGCTGCAATAGTAGGTGATCCATAAATATCTGTTGATAGTTATTACCAAGATTATTTGGTCACAATGGTCATATATGCAAATCAAATTAGTCTAATAGGATGCTAATGAGAGCATTTGAGGGGCACCTGGGTGGCTCAGTCCGTTAAGTGTCCAACCCTTGATTTTGGCTCGAGTCGTGAGATACAGCCCCGAGTCAGGCTCTGCACTGGGTGTGGAGCCTGCTTAGGATTCTCTGTCTCCCTCTCCCTCTGCCCCTCCCCACCCCCTTGCTCATTTGCGCTCTCTCTTTTTAAAACAAAAAAGGGTATTTCAGGCAAGACTCCAGGATGAGGGGGATCCCTGGGTGGCGCAGTGGTTTAGCGCCAACCTTTGGCCCAGGGCGCGATCCTGGAGACCCGGGATCGAATCCCACGTCGGGCTCCCGGTGCATGGAGCCTGCTTCTCCCTCTGCCTGTGTCTCTGCCTCTCTCTCTCTCTCTGTGTGACTATCATAAATAAAAAAAATAAAATAAAAATAAATTAAAAAAAATAAAAAAAACACAACCCAGTGTAAAAAAAAAAAGACTCCAGGATGAGAAATCTCAGATACTAAGGTGAGGTTCTAGACTGAGATGTAAATTTTTAAGGGAAATATCTGAAAGCTTGCTATGTAATTCAAAAGGCCCTCCCTACCTCAAATATAAAAGTTACTGGCTTTGAGAAATTAAGGACAGAGGATTCGAACAACTTCCCTGGAGAGGGTAGAGCTATGGACACCATTTCACTTAAGAGGCAGAACGGGTAGGACTTGTCTGTCCCTCACTCCTTGTGAGGGAAGCTTGACATTGAGCCTTAAATAATAGGGAACATGGTGGACTTCCAGGGGCCTGACTTCCATCTGACAAGTGTAAAAGGACACAAGATGGGCTGGATGAGAAGGAGAGCCAGTCTCCACGCCCAGAATTTGTTGTAGAAAAGGATGTGTGAATGAGCTAGTATGGGTTTGTTCTAGGTCCCTTCCAAAACATCTGTCCGGGGGTAGCCAGGGCCTCAGCAGTTCCCTCAGTGGAAAGACAGCGGTAGTCCCAGGAGCTGCAGAAGGAGTGAAGAGGTTTCAGTGAGTGCATTACCCCCATCAGGGGAACTGCACAGAAGGTCCCTAGTTGGAGGGGGTCTCCAGAATGGCTACCAGAGCATCCCACAAACATTAGCTTTAAACACTCAACAGTTGAGACAGTGCTAACAGGATCTTATGTCTTTTCTGCTCACACTCTCTCTCTCCATTTCCCACCGATTCTAGAGAGGTCAGAAACTACAGCCAGCATCTGGGGAGGAGTGGCAGGAGAACGCCAAGCAGGGCACATCCCCTTCCCAGGGGCAGGCACCTGCTGGTACGAAGCCCTAAGTGCAGGGAGGGGAAAAGTCACTGGAGCTTTGAATGAAATGAAAGCTATGGCTATTACATAAGGCTGGATACTCTAATTTTGGAATTGGTGACTCAATGTGACCATGGGATTTTTATTACCTCAGTGGTATCAAAAAGATTCTCCGGACCTCCCACACTGAAAACATTTTAAGGGGACATGGGGAAACAAAATGAAGTCGGCTTTGATTATTCCCTGATGTGTCTTGAATGTGCAATATCCTGGTTATACTAATTAAGGCAGAAAGAGCAATTTAATGGTTCAGACAACCAAAGCGTAGAAAGGGACTCAGTCTCTCTGCTCCTGATAGCAAAACTCCCAGGAAGGGCCCAAATGGCCTAGTGTGCATCCGTTCCTCACACCTGCTCTAATCACAGCGACAGGAGACAGGGTTGTAAAAAATTATGATTCCCACATGACACATGTGGTTGGGAGCATTTACCAGAAGAAGGAATGGGCGGTCCTGAACAAAGGTAGGGTCTCGGGACACAGGAAGTCTTTGGAAAACTTAGAGCTAGCTTCATCTCCCAGGTACAATAGGTGTGGCCACGCCTACGTCAAATGGGCCACTGTTAAAATGGGCGGTAGACTGTTTTCCCCTCACCCTCATTCTGCTGTGGGTTTTTCTTCCCTCACCAACCTTCCTTTTAAAATCTTTCTATAGGGGCGCCTGGGTGGCTCAGTAGTTGAGCATCTGCCTTTGGCTCAGGTCATGATCCCAGAGTCCTCGGATGGACTCCCGCATCGGGCTCCCTGCAGGGAGCCTGCTGTTCCCTCTGCCTACATCTCCACCTCTCTCTCTCTCTCTGTCTCTCCTAAATAAATAAAATTTTTAAAGCTTTAAAAAAATAAAATAAAATCTTTCTAGAATGTCCTCTGGCTTACCTCCCTCTACTTCCCAGCAGACCGAAGCCTTGCTCTGCCCTGCAAGACCTTGCTTTTCCTGCAGCTCTCAACGGGAGGCCACTTTTCCTCTCAAATGCCAACTTCCCTCAGACATGACCAGAGAGTACTTACGAAGTGCTGTGGTGCAGTTTTCATCACCTTTCTTATGTTTGGGGTCACTGAAGATTCTTGGATCTGTGGGTTTATGGTTTTGTGCTGTGGTGCAGTTTTCATCACCTTTCTTATGTTTGGGGTTCACTGAAGATTCTTGGATCTGTGGATTTA